TTGGGATTCTTCTAGCTCAGTCTCCTGAGCAGTGGGTGATAGCTGGATTATGGGTGTGCCCAGCTTGGTGTTGATTTTTAAAGCTTCTTCTTGGAAACAACAATTTTTAAAAAAAAATATTTATTGGGCAAAGGAAGATACATGGCCATGCCTAACTTCAATGAAAGGTAGGGGGCAAATACTATCCTACCATGTATCTAGGGAAGAATCAGAAATACTCTGCAGGAAGTGCTGGCAGACAAATACTATGAGTGTGAATAAGTTAGTACTTTGTCCTTGGGCCGGGGGAGATAGCTCAGTAGAGTAAGTGCTTGCCTGGCAAGCACTAGGTCCTGAGTTCAATCCCTGGTACCACAAAAAAAGCTACTTTTTCCTAGAATGTGAGGAATGCTGATCAGTTTTCCTTCAGCTGCTGAGGAGTTAGTAATGCCTTCCCCCTTTATTGGGGTATAATTGACAAATAGAAATTGTGTATATTTCCAAGTCTGCAACTTGATACTGGGAAGTACATATTAGGATCATGACAATTAAGTTAGGTAACATAATTGTCACTTCACACTTAGCCTTTTTTGTAGTGAGAACATCTTTCTTTCTTTTTTTTTTTTGGTACCGGGGATCAAACTCAGTACTCTGTGCTTACCTGGCAGGCGCTTATGCTGCTGAACTATCTCCCTGAACATTTCAAGTGTATTCTCTCAGCAAATTTCAAGTGTAAGAAAGTGTTAACTGTAGTCACCCTCATGCACATTTAGTTCTCAGCCTTTATTCAGCATGTGTAATTGACATGGTACCCACTGCCCTCCTCCTAACTCTCTGTGCCCTCCTTTTTCTTTCTCCTCCCAAAAGAGTTATTCTTTTGGATTCATATGTACGTGAGGTCATGCAGTGTGTTTCTGTGGAGTGACATCCCTTTCTGCTTTGGGGTATAGTATCCTAGTTGTCAGACTGTGTTGGCCTTTGTTTCTGGTTATCTGATTGGGAGGATAGGGAAATTATGTGTGATCTCCCTCCCCCT